TGCTATAAAAGGTGAAGCAAAGTGGCACTATGAATTGTATGTTGAAAAAGGTTAAATGTCCCTACTATGAGGGGAAGTTGGGTCTGCACAACGCACTGACAAGACCTTGACGGTTGGAATTCCTTGGAAGCCTTGCCTTTTCTGCGCGCCACCGTTTGGCTGCCCCAGTGCTGGACCTTAGCGTCGAGCTCTAGCTTTTTTAGTAAACACTCGCCCAACGCAGAAATACTACTTTATTTCTGCAAAGTAGAAGAAACATGACTTCATCCCGAAAGCCTTTCTTTCCGAGAATACGCCGGCTCCCATTGCGCGCCTGTCCAAGCTAGTGCACTGACCACGAAAAAGGATTTCTCGCCCAGAACGACAAATCTCCATTGATCCTCCCCTTTAAGGTGTATTCTCCTCCGGCCTAGTAAAAGATAGATCCGAACAAAATGATTGGTAAGATACATATCTCTCGGAATTTCTACAAATTAGACAAAACAATCGTAAAACGACTGACTTGGAGTGATGCCAAAAAACCTCCCGTACTACACCAGCTCAATTAAGTTTTTGTAAACGATTGTCTTCGGGGTAAACTAATTGACTGTTGCAGGATGGATACTTGCTGGAACGTCATGTTTCTTCCCGTTTCTCACACGAAACCAGTCCTGGTATGATGCCAATCAGATGTGCAGAAATTACATGTGAGTGACAGATGACGAGCTTTCAAGGCTTCAGAAATACAAGTTTTTCCATTTTATGTGGGTACATATCACCCAAAGGCGAAGTTTATGATGAAAATGCAGCCCATCACATAGCATTCAAGATAGAGGCAGTTAATGATAAAGGAATGAAGAAAAAATCAAGAAAAACGGCCTGGAATCCGAAAATCGGACCCCATTCTTGCTCGCTGATTTCTGCATTGGGACGAGACTCATCAATGCACCGTTTACCTAACCTAGCTCTTCACGGTATAGCTCATCAGTACTCACATGTTCCATGGATAAAACCGGTCAACCGAAATCAACAGGAAGCCGCGAGGCTGAGAACCTGAGCAGTTATTGTTGACTTGCTGCGTTTAAACTTCCAAAGGTGCGAGTTCGGGTCCCGCCTGGGGCGAAAGTTTTGTTCACAACCTCAGCATTCTTGTGAAACATTCGCAATGCGAACTGCAGCATCAAAATCGCAGTTAACAAACAAAACAAACCAGAACCAATAGCTTTGCTCTGCGTCTGTGCTAAACGGCTAATAACCGCGGCTGGAGTCAGACGGCGAGGGGTTACTCGTCGGCGAGCGTGCAGCGGCGCAGGTACGGCCCTGCTTGGCCACTAGAGGTACTACCATTACTGGGGAACGCGTATCGTCCCGCACTTCGCTGCCTACGCAACTGGAAAATATTAGGTCGCAACGAAAGTCCTGGCGCATTTTTTCAAAGTCCTCACAAACGGCTGCGCATTAACCTGGAGGGGAAATTTTTAACCATATACAGGAGTGGTGATATTCCTTCATATTCTCCGAGTCTCACCTCCTGCACCTTTTGGAGCCTGGAAAATGCCATACGTTTCTACCCATGTACCCCACTGACTTCTTTGCGAATTTTGTCTGGGCCCACACAGCGAGCGAAGCCTGCCGCAAAATATGCTCTGTAGAACTAGAGGGAGTGGTAAGTGAAAAAACCTGCCAACTTTGGTTCAGAAGGTTCCGCGAAGGAAACTACAACCTCGAAGATGGACGCCCAACGGAAGTCAATTTCGAACGTTTGGAGCTGTTACTTCAAGACTTTCCGCATGCAAGCGCCAAGGAGCTGGCAAAGGAGATGCACTGCTTCAACATGGCCACAGGTCGTGTTCATCACATGCTGGAAAAAGTTGAGAAACTTGGTCGATTGATCCCTCATGAGCTGACAGAGCATTGCAAGGAAAAGAGGTATCGGGGTGTGCAGAGGTTTTCTTGCAAGAGTTGCCGTTTCGACTGGCTGGATAATGTAATTACTGGAGATGAAAGGTGGGAGCTCTACGTCCGTCATGCCAGAGAAAGACAGTGGATGGGTGCGAACCAGAAGCCAGAGCCTGTTCCAAAGCAGGAGGTTCATCCCAAGAAAGTTCCTCTGTCAGTTTGGTGGAGAGTTCGGGGAACACGTCATTACGAGATGCCAGACAATACCATCGTCGACGCCGAGGTGTACTGCTCTGCCTCTACACCAACGGCAAGGCTCGCGGCTGAATTCGCGCGAAACGTCGCCCGAAGCTGGACGAAGTCCCTCTTCTTCATGACAACGCGCGACCACATGCTGGAAGGGTAACCCAGGACACATTGGCGGAACTTGGATCTGCGGTTTTACCCCATCCTCCATATTCGCCAGGTCTTGCGCCTACGGATTACCACCCGCTCCTTTTCCTGGCTCACTTCGCAAAGGGTAAAAAGTACGACAACTGTCAACAGTTGAAAGCGGACATGGGCACTTCTTCGACTCGAAACCTGCCGAATTTTGAAGGTGGGGCACTTGTTCCCTTGTAGACCGATGGCGGCCTGGTGTAGGTACTTGTGGGAATTATTATTCGGAATAAAGTTCAATTCAAAGAAAAATATGAGCTTTTGAAATCGAGGGTCGAATCCGCCATTACTTTCGTTGCGACCTAATATTTCGATCTTATCAGCAACTCCTTTCTTGTGACATGAAGGACGATAGGGAAGGTAAGGGCAGCTCACCAGTCGCGAACGTTCTTCTAACGCGCCTCCCATACCCACGATGATGCGCATTACCCCAGTTAAGGGTCCCACGAATCATTGTCTTTGTCGAAGCCCTACCTCAACCTTCATTCCGAGTCTGTAACCATCCTTAATCAATTACTTTTGTCAATGGGAGGAGAGGGGGACGAGGAGAAGTGGAAACCAGCCAGATTTCCGAATTTTAACTAGCTTCTAGAAATCCAACAAAATTTCTTGGAAATCCTCGCATATCGCATATAGCTTTTCTTGTGAAATCACCACACTTCAATTGAATCCCTTTCCTAGTTCGTCCGCCCCCCACGGCCCCCATTCAAAGATACACATCAACATTCCCACCAACTTATGGACTCCTCTCCGCGGACTCGGAAACCCATATCGAGAATTTTGTCAGTTCCTCAAAAGGGCTTCTTCCTGGTCTTTAGAAGAGGGGAAGAAGCACCTCAGGAGAGCAATAACAAGGTGGTCCTATACTCACCCCGAGTCACTACCGCTACATCATCTGAGGATGAGAGGCCTATTGCGCAAAGTTGGTTCAACTGGGGGGATCCCCGTCTTTTTCTTTTCGTCCTCGTTACTGCATAGAGCCAATAGCAGCCTATGGAAATCATACGATCAACCAAAAATTGGTCGAGAGACATTACGTAAGCGTTTACACCTCACAATCCGATCAGCTCAATCAGTGGCCTCCTCGTAATCGATTATTCTCGAACTACACTATACTTACAGATTTGGCCACAGTTACGGAACAACGCTTCAAAATTGGTTAATTGCACGATCTCTTCTGAAAAAGCTACCACCGGGTATTTATTGGACAGGTATGGATCTATCTGATAACTATATCATATACTATCATTGGCCCAAAATTTCCCCATCGACCTTTTCCACTATATTCCTATTTTTCGGAATGGAGTAAGACTCTTGCAAGGTCGCGCGCGCGGTTGCGACGCGGCGTGAGTGGAAGTGCTTCTCATCGGAGCAACAGCGATTCTGTCACGCGATGAGCCATTTGGATATTTTGCACAACGGGATGAATCTCTTGCAACTGAGGCGAGCGGTGGCGGCGCGGTGCGACGCCTCGTTTCGAGGTTCGATGCACTCTCCTCTGGAACAACTTATCTGCTCGAAGCCGCCCACGGTTCTTTACGAGCGCTAAAAATGAATGTTTACTAAACACTACGGTCTGCTTTGCTCTTCTGCTACCGCGTCGCGACCGCTCGCTCGCTTGTTATAACACTGAACGTTTAATGGCTCTCCGCCCAGTGTTGAAAAGGTTTACACTCATAATAATTTTCGCTATTGTTGGTATCACATTCTACTGAATACGCACGAGAGACGCAGAAAACTGCGACTTTATTTCTCACGGACTCTAGCTCCTCTGAGCGCAAACAGAAACGACTTCTACTTCTCCGCTACAGATTTCCGCATTTCGGCATTTCTCATACATTTATATTTGTATATATTTATATGAAGAATTATTTAACCTATATCTATTTTTACGTATTTACATATTTATATAAATAAACATGTGCTGACTAAATTCAGGTCTAAATGCAACAGAAAACCAAAACAAGTTGGGAATTATTTGGGAACTCATGGAAACCTCCATCTATAACCCTATTTGGGCCACGGATGAACCGCATGGGTCAACTGACCCTTTCGACAAATGCATAGCGCTCGATCTACGCTCAGAAGCTAGTGTGGGCTGGCGTTTGGTCAACTGTACTGAGCGATTGCCAACGCTTTGTGAAACATTCGCCTGCATGGGAGGTTCGTTCTCTTGCTATCGATTGGTGCGTGATTTTTGGGCAGACGAATTTTCAGATGATTTTCGATGCCTTGACAATACCCGTTGTATCCCCAGAAGTGCGGTCTATGACGGTATCATCGACTGTGGCGACGGATCGGATGAAAGGGCGCGGTTGATTGCGGGACATGGTTTTGAGCAGGTGGGCGGAGCGTGCGTGGGAAACCACGCCCACTTCACGATTCAATCATAGAACCAATTAGAACCAATTTCAGGACCGGAAATACTCGCAGTTTTCCAGCAATGATTGTCAAAATGTTGTAGTCACTCTACCTGAAGGGACAATCGCATCACCGAACTATCCAGGAAATTATCCTCAGAGAAAATTTTGTCAGTGGAATATTCGTGCTCAACCTGGTCAAATCATTATCATTAATGTAGGTGCTTTGAAAGCTGGTCATCACTGATCGTTCCTATCGCTTGAGCTTTCAGGTGGAAGACATCGCCTTGGCGCCTGGAGACACGCTCTCCCTTGAAGGAAACCAGGAAGGGCGACAAATTCTTACTGAAAAGTGGCAGTTATCCCCTTGTCGTATATTTCCAAATCAAACACGATCCATTTGTCATTTGCCAGCGGTGCAAATGGTACTGCTAGAGGATTCTTGTTGCACTACCACAGTAGAGGTGAGTACTACCTATCCGGGTATTAGTACAAGTATTGCCTGTGCCTTCGCCGGAGGAGAACTCAGCCTCCCACTCATGCTTTATTTGGGCATGGGTTAAGTCTCGATGGTTAGCAGCAGAGGCTCGATACAGTAACCGCAGTTATTGGGGTCCTGGGACGCAACCCTTAGGCGATATCGACTTTGCAAATCGCGCGATTCGCTAGCGTCTGCGGTCGCGTCGCGGCCAGTGAATATACTCATTTGGTGGTATACCCGCAACGCGACCGCGGACGCTGGCGAATCGTGCGATTCGCAAAGTTTGACATCGGCCTTACACTTCGCCACCAAGGCGAAAAGATAGAAGGAGGGAGAGCAGGGTCAACCCTACGTTGTTACGAGTAACAACGGGGGGGTCGTACCTGGTTGAGTTTGTAGGAGGGGGGGTCGTACCCACTTTAGTCGCTCGAAATCACGTGTGGGAGTGAGGAGAAACTAAGATTTCCGTGGGTAGTAGGTTGTGCGAGTAGAGGGCGCGCAAGATAAAAATTTGCCGTTTCAGCCGGCGTATATACCCCCCCTAGAAAAGGAAACAGTGAGATTATAGGGAGAAATTGGGCAAATTGGTGGAAAATTTAGGGGAATTGTGGGAAATTATGGGAAAATTTTTACTGTTTCAGAGGGAGGGACTATATACCCCCCGCTCGACGGCATTTTTGGAGGAAAAAGTGGGCGGAGTTTTGAGGGTTGAGTGGTAGTGGAAGTTAATGTTATAGAGAGGAATATGGTGATCGAGGTGTCGGAAGGGGGGTCGTACCAAATCCACCTTGGGGGAGGGGGGTCGTAAAAATTTTTCGAATAGTAACAACGATAGGGTTGACCCTGGAGGAGGCCCGTTCCTCTGCTATCTAAGGGATGACTCGCTCTCTCGTACGATTGCGTAGCGCCTGTTGAGTTGACTGAGACTTGCTTTTCTAGTATCGGTAACTCTTCGGCCAAATGTCGCTACGCGGCGGCGGCTCCTCGGTTCTGCTGCGCGCGACAACTGCTGCGGCGATTTCTGTGTGCCTTTAACTTAAAGCAACAGTCCCAGCAGGGTGGGCGTGGTCGGAAACGGCTGCAATCCCCTCGGCCGATTCCCACTTCGGAGCTGTTCAGCCCCTAGTCAAGAACGTAAGAAGTGTGACTGAACAAAAACTCACCTTGGAAAGCCGCTAGGGAGGGAGCTGAAGTGGGCGTGGTCGGAATCGGCCGAGGGGATTGCAGTCGTTTCCGACCACGCCCTGCTGGGACTGTTGCTTTAATAATCCATGTCCATGAGCTGCGAGTGGGGTTGGATAACTGATAGACTGAAGTGTTGGACATCAGTGGTCCAAGAAGCGGCATCCTAAGATTGCCGCAGTGATTTAGGCCTCATAGCGCAAAGCTTGTACCATGTAAAGGTTGTCCTTTTGAATTTAATTTGACTTCTTTTTAGTCTTCTCTACTCTCCTCCACCCCCCCCCCTCTGCGCGACAAGTCTTGGAAGAGTGGAGTGGCACCCTTACCGACTCAAAGGCCACTCTGGCCTCAACTGCTGCTTAAGACATTTAGTCCTTCACCTCTTCGTCACCTCATCCTCCCAAAAAGCCAACTTTCTCCGAAGTAAGCTCTCAAAAGGCAAAAGTTTTCGCAGATGGTCAAACTCTTGGTGGATGCGCCTCGCATTCTACCTCCATTCAAGTTCACTGGGATTCGAATGTGCGATAACCTATACGATGACTTTTGGGCCAATCATATACGAGTCGGTGTCATTCTCCTCCCACACAACCCTGGTGGCTATTTACGGCCTCCGGAAGGATGGAATTCTTTACTGGTTCGGTGATGTTCGATCCGAAACCCCCAGACCGTGCACGCCCCTCTGCGGAAGTCGCGCATTCCTCTATTTCTTTTCTTACCCTTCATTTGTTTGTTCCTGTACATATTCGTCGCTTGACTTTATTTGCCTTATTCTCGTTCTTACGGCTAGCAGTTGCTGAAAAAACGCCCACACGACTTTTCTTTCCAGATCCTAAAAATGTTTGCCATGCAGCCGCCAATGGTGTCATTGTCTACGAATCTTGGCGGGAGAACTACGATTGCGTTTATAGTTTGCGAAGCCCTGATCGAACATCTTTCATAATACTAGAGGTGAGTGATGTTGACGTGAACGTGCTCCTCGTTCAACAATTTCCGTTCCGAGAAGTACAGGAACTTGGGATTATCCGACGATTCCTCCCAATATACTGTAAGCTCCTCTTCAACTTTCGCCCCTTGATTTCCCAAATAGTATTCCGCAATCTCACCTAGTTATATCCCACTTTTGCCAACTTTTTCTTCTCGCTAGATATCCCTACTGTCTGCCAAGGCCCCGTGAAGATTGCTAACAGGGTCACACAGCCCTTAAGCGGATTTAAACGAGAAGGGTCACATTGTGCTACTCAAAGGTGGGGACATAAGACACACTTTCGGGAGGGGCGGGAATCAGATTTCTAGGAAATAAGGAAATACTCAGAATAACATGCGGAATTATTACCATTGCAAATGCAACTGTGTTGCCCTCACTCTCACCCTTGTCCTAAGTGGAGGCCACTGAGGGGCTTCCTGAATGGGCGGGGCTAGTGTGTGGGCGTTGATTTGCTGTGCGTGTGTGTGACTCGATATGCATAATTGTGTGTACAGGGTGGCTAGAAATTACGGTAACAAGGGTCGCCGCATGCATGTTCAGAACCATACTGGAATGCATTTGACAGTAGGTTTCAGAACATCACAAAATCTCACAAAAGGAAGCCCCACAATTTGGGTACAATCCCAATGTTTTACCCTTCAACTAATCTAGCTGTGTTTTCCGATTATCACTTACATGCTGTATAGAGTTGCTGTGATCATTTTATCTTGTTACCGTAATTTATGGCCACCCTGCAGTCTTCGTTTGGGGGCGGAGTTAGTATGGGGAGGCGGGGCTTGCCTACGGATGTCGCACAACCACTTCCACGTGTGTCAGGAGAGCTTCAAAGGCCGTACGTCAGTGTCGGGGTGGAGAGGTGGAGGTGGTGTACTGGCAAGGGGCGCTACTTTTCAGGGCAAGGTCCAAGACATAACCTCGTATAAAGAGTATTGAAGTTTATCTGAGCCTACCGTCTCTCCTAGGTTGGTCAACTGGTACCATAATTGTCCCCAAGAAGTTATAGTTTGGCCCAAATCGCATTCACAATGCCACAACGAGGTGGAACGCGGAGAATATCGCAATAGGGGTTGACCAGAACCGACAGCTTTACCCTTTTATCCTTCACGTGTAAACGGGAGGCTTTCCTGCAGTTTTCATTTGGGGGCGGAGCTTGTGTGGGGAGGCTGGGCTTGCCTACGGATGTCACACAACGACTTCCACGTGTGTCAGCAGAGCTTTAAGGGCCGTACGTCCCCGAAATTTTGTTCAATGTGATGTTATAGGCTCACTATTCTTGGCTTCTCCCTGCCGTATCTGTCGTCACTTCAGAGCTCACTGGATTTTTCAGATCCATCCTACATCAATGGGAGAGCTCACAAAGGTTGCCGTATGCTATGATAACACAAGCCACAGTATTAGCGACGCTCGAACCGCCCAAATTCTCGTGATCCCGTCAAGTGACGTTCGCGTCGAAGTTCGAAACGCATGGCTGTCTAGGCGTTATACTGCCTTTTCTATCACATATAGGTACCTGGGATCAGGTTGGTAGGCTCTACACGTTGGATTGGTTTTTTAAACACACCTTTGTCACTTGAAGAATCTGTTTCTGGCAGAGCCATTGGAATTACCCTTGAACCTCAACGGATTCACCTTCACCTGGTTCCCTTCGAAAGACAGCTGCTGCCTCGCTCGTGCTTTGAGACTTATCGTTCAATCGACAACGAGATTTCTGCCTCACACTTTGATTCTCGATGGACTCGTGCCAAAAGGTGATGCGGTTACGGTAAGTACCACTGGAGCGCTTTTTCATCCCGATTGCTTTGAGAAGATAGTTTCAGGTGGTGAAAGACGGCAGTGTTACCCACATAGGCTCCTCTGCGACGTTCAGGGCACAGGATCTGCGTGAACCACTCCATGTGTTGATCACAAAGCGAAGTCCTGACTTTCGACTGTCGCTGACGTTCTCCAGAGGTAGGCTTTTAGCTACCGACTTACTGCCCATCCCAGGTACGGTAAAGAGAAGTGCTTCAGATTGCCCTGTCCCGTTGGAATCGCCCCGTATTCGAGTGTCATCGCCAACAGGCCGACAACTTGGAAGCATTATTCACTTCTCTTGTGCCAACAGCGCCGCCCGCCCAAACAGGCGCGTTGACCGCTGAGTGCCTTACCGGTGGTTTATGGTCAGCGGAACCGCCGATATGTCGAGGTAGGACAGCTCCTTCTTGACTGGTTTTTTTCATATGCACATAGTGTTTATATACGTTTGTCCCACCCTGTGGCGGGGTCCGCTTTCCTGGTATTACGACGCCACTTTTCCCGATTATGTGCCTGATCGGGGTGAAGGCCAACTAATTTCAAGTCCTCATGCAACGTATCAAGCCATCGTTGCTTCGGGCGTCCTCTTGGCCGCTTTCCTGGCACGTCAAAGTCTAGACCGATCTTACGGACACTGTCATCATTCGCGCGAAGGACGTGACCGT